TTGTTTCGTGATGATTCGATTACGGAACAAAATTCTATGTTTGCAATCTTTCGAAAACCTCCTCGAAAAAGCTATTAAAGCATAAATCCCTGGGTCTTTTCATGGCCCTATGAGCCTTTGACCAGACTTATACATTTCTCTTTTTAATTTCGCTTTAACGTCTCGTTTATATTCTTAATTTTATGCCCAAGATCACTTTTGGCTCTGAATTTTGTCTGCCGTTCAAAATGACCTGCGCCGGGGGAGCAAGAGTACACGAGAGGAGGGGATTTGGGTTGCTGTGGAAAACCGGTGACCTGGATACCCCAACACTGCAGGGGAGCACGAGGATGACAGTCGGATTGCGCATATATTTCACTTTTTTTACAGTTTCTTGGTCAAAAACAGGATTCGAAAATCTCTGGGGGTCATACCGATTTTTTCACATGAAAAATAGCGTAATTAGCAGTTTTCGAATTTCCAATATTTTATAGCCTGAAACTCATGAATATCTTACGGATTCCAAAATGAGTGCAAAATACTGTTATATTGCTCAGCTACCATAAGCTACAACTCAAAATTTAAAAACAACCAAAGTAGAATTCAAAATTTTTTTCTGAGAATCCACATTTCGGTTTCCACCTGTACCAGTATTACAAGGATCTAGAGAAGCCTCTCGTTCTTTTGCGGTTGGATATATCCGGTTTTTAGGGGCAGCCAGAGCCAGTTCGCCTAGGGCGAGAAAGCGAGAGAGAGAGAGAGAGAGAGAGAGAGAGAGATACAGGCTACAATAGATCCCCCATGAGGAGGCGGAGGGGTGGAGGTCGACCCATAGCCCCCTAGGATGGAAATCCTCCCCCTCAATCGGGCTGCAGCATCAGAGAGGGTCGACCTTCCCCTCCAGGCTATTCCTTGTCCTTCCTCATTCCACAAGAGTTGTGGATAGTACAGTAATGTAGTCGCTACTGAAATATAAGGAAAAATTTCTAGGTTTACCCCCTAAAAGGTCGATTTTTCAAGTTAAAAATCTCTCTATTTTCCTCGTTTATCCGTTTTAGAAGCTCTGTTTTATAATTTTTTACATTTATTTTTATTCTCTATTTCGTATCATGCCGTAAATAACCGAGATTAATGCGAAATATACCTCAGGCTCGGTTCTAAAAGTTGCTCCTCCGGATTAATTCTTTTCGTCGGCGTTTTAGCGCTTTGTCATATTTTTGCATTTAATTTTACATATTTTAATATTATTTTGGATGAATTAAGGTATCTAATTTAGACCATGGGCCAAACGAAGGGGAAAACAACCGAAAATCCAACGGACGCCCCCGCAAAAAGAGCGCCTCGCCCAATTCTATTCGAATACCCGGCGCTCCCCGAGGTGAAGCTATGTTTTCTCGTCATGATGTCCGTTATGGTATATGCTTGGTAAGCCTAGAAATGCCTAATCGATTACACTACGAAATTCCAGGTATGGCGTGTACAAGGCCAGCGAGACGTTCACGTTTAAATATAGCTACTGGAAAACCGAGACTGATTTACCATTATTTGGTAAGAGAGCAAAGGTAAATTTTATAGTTCGAATCGTTAATTTTTCTTTAAATTTCTCCGAAAAGTGTAATAACTAAAGTAAAAATTGATATTGTTGGAAACTTTAAATAAAATACTGGCATTGAATTTGCCAAAAACGTTTGAAATTATGTTTTTTAGGATCAAACAAACTGGGAGTGGTGGAAATGGTCGCCGGCTGCGTGGAGCTACTTGCCGATTTATTTCGGGCATTTTGTCGTGTTCAACCTGGGTTCACAATATCTCAGCGAGAAGCTGTTTGTGCCGTTATATACAGGTAAACGTCTAAGCCTAAGCTAAGCCTAAGCTAAGCTATGCCTAAGCTAAGCATAAGCTAAGCATAAGCTAAGCCTAAGCTAAGCCTAAGCTAAGCTTACTTTACTTCTTTTTCTAACATCAACTTCAGCCCTCTCAATCACCGCCTGCGCGTACCACTATTCGCCCTGGTTGACGTTCTGCTCCATCGCCCAGGGCGCCCTCATTTTCGTCGTCACCAAGCTGTTCAGGTGGGTCGTGCTCTTTTTGGAGATCCCCTCAAAAAGTCAGCGGCAATAACACTTCGGGCTGGTTTAGGATGCAAATTGCGCGCCCAATCCTCTTGAGTTGAAAAATTATGTCTTGGCTTTTCAAGTGCTTTCATCGTACGATACGAGCTTTTCAAGCAGTATGGCTAATTTTGGCTTCCCTGGTCCTTTACAAAACAAATAAAAGCGAAAATTGGTTGGGAAAATCGGAAAATTCCGGAAAATCGACCTAATTTGCACTGGCTGATTTACTAGGTAGGGTCATCGATTTTGGCTAACTTCCATACACTTTGCTTTAAAGGAGCAATAATTTCACGCTTCTACAGCCCTTTAAAATGCTCCAATTGTCGAAACTAAAAATCTACATCAGTTTTTAGGCACCAACTCGCCGTCTGGGCCTCCTCACTCCCTATTATGTATTTTATTATGCACAATACATTTGCGCTGGGCGAGGATGTAAGTTTTTAATTTAAAGGGATCGTGGCAGCAAGCTTCTGAAGTTCGTTCGCTCAAAAAATGTAAAATTTAGGTGTTCTTCGTCTTACTCTTCGTCTCCTACACCCTACTCTCGTTCATCTCCTACAATCTGGAGTTGCTGCGCGAGCCGGTTAGGTGAGTTATGAATTTTGGATGGCAAAGCCGAGCCTGGCAGAATAAGCCCAAGCCCAATCCTAAGCCTAAGCTAAGCCTTTTTCTAGAAAAGAAGACGACACCTCAGCCAAGCAATTCCTGCGCATGATGTTCTTCGCCTTCTACCAGCCCTATTTGGTGTCCCTGATTACCGTATATCCTGACTTTGAACGTCAGCTGGCGGAGCGGAAAAATCGGGTAATTACCGCTCCGCTACATTGAAGCTGGGTTATTCCTTTAGAAGCGCGACTGGCATGGCACGCTATTCTTCGGAGCGCGTATCGCCTTCTGGTGGGCCCTGATGGAGCTGTCACTGCACTTTTTGTACCATGAGGCCATTTTGAAGGATCTGGCCTATGCAAATGCGCTGCCAAAAGATCGATTTGTGTCGTTGGGAATGGCTTTAGGTAAGTTAGGAGTAGGGATAAGCCGAAGCCTAAAGCTAAACCCAAGCCGAACGCAAAAGCTAAGCTTAGGCCTTTTCCTATGCCTCAGCCGAAAGCTAAGCGTAAGCATAAGCCAAGCCTAAGATTAAGCCTAAAGCTAGGCCTAAGGCAACGCCAAAGCCGAAGCCCAAGGCTAAACCGAAGCCTAACGATAATTTTTTAGGTTAGGAAACTTTAGGAAAGTTTACTTAGGAAAGCCTAAGCCTGAGCCTAAGTCTAAGCCTAGGCTAAGCCAGGCTAAGCCAGGCTAAGCCTACGCTAAACCTAAGCTCAACCTAAGCTAAGCTTAAGCCTAAGCCTAAGAAGACTAAACCCAAACTTAATATGAATCCCAATCCAAAGCTTTTAGGAATGTCCTTCCACCTCAAATATGTGGTCATCTTCGGCCTCCCCACCCTATTCGCCAAGCTCGACAATATGCAACCGCTCGACGGCCCAATTTGCATCGTTGGGGTTGTTTTGTATTCAAAGGTAAGTGACGTGACTTTTCATCGCTTAAAAAGATATGCGGGCAGACGACGCTTACTATATTACTGTCTAACTATAGCTTTCAAAAAACCTGATTTAGGTGTGGCGCGCCTTCGACCGCGGCCTGTACCAATTCTTCAAGCGCTACATCTTCATCCCAATCTGCGCGCCCAGCTTCTCGCTGCCGCGCAAGATTTGCGGAGTGCTGGTGTCGTTCGGATTTGTGCTACTTTGGCACGGGTTCTACCATCATAACTATGTAAGCTGCAATTTGATAGGCTTTGTCGCATTTAAAAACGATCCACAACCCCTTTAAAGATAAACTCCTGATACCTGTTTTTAGGTGTGGATCGGACTGAATGTCGTTGCTTTGTTCATCGAAATGTCCAGCAAGGCTTTCTACGGGATTGAGGCGGTGAAAATGTGGCGTGAGAAGAACATTTCGGACGTTAATTTTAGGTATCTGTATAGAAATATACTGAAATTATAACACTGCAAATTTAAGACGCATCCTTGGCATCCTCCAAATCGTTCCCTACGCCTTTGGGTTGTACTCAAATTTCTATTTTTTGGGCGGATCAGAGGTGGGTTTTAGAGTATTAAATCAAGTTTATGAAATGCCTATACCATCCAACTTATTTAATAAAGATATATATGCCAATTTTTTCACTAAATTGATATAATTTTAAGGTCGGCCAACTCTTCGTGAGGCGCATTTTCGAGGAAGAAACCGTAACGCTGCGATGGCCCTTCTTTTTGCTGATATTCCTTGGGTAAACTACCGTAGTAAATGTTATCGACCTATTTATAGTATTTTCGACTAAATTCAAATAATGAAGTTTTATTTAATAGCTGTTAAATTTTAGGTATTTCTATGTGCAAACAACAATGGAGGTCGACCGGAAAAAGGCGCTGGCGCTGAAGGAAAAGGAAAAGCCAAAGGCCGCATAACTCCGCAAAACGGATAACCAATTCGAACTTCACGGGCTTCTAATAAAGTTATCAATTACGGTACTAAATGCACAAAAATGCCTTTATTGTCAAAAATTATTTTTGGCTTGGGTGATCAAAAGATCTTTGCTGGTTTGCCCAATTTTTCGCCCCATAACCCCGAGCCCGATAATGCGCAAGAACCCAAAAATCTCTGTGAAAAATCCCAAGCAACTTTTCGATCATTTTAATTTTGCACCCCTTTTGCCTTCATAGCCGCTTTACTCAGGTTTATCTCCGAATCAGCTAACCTAGCAGAGGCGTTCCGAAAAACCGCCCCGAGCTTCTCTGGCCAAGTCAGCGCGAAGCGGGGTGGATGCGGGGCATCTATTTGCCCCGAGTTGAGTGCCGATTCGCAACTCTTTACGCTCTCTGTGGGGGGCTGCACACACACTGTTTGTGTGGATTTGAAAAGAAAAGGACGGCTGTCGGATAAAGGGCAATTTTTTGGCAGGCCGGTCAATTGAAAGGTGGTCGGTCGCTAGAGGTGAAGCAAAAAAATGCGTACCGCCGGGCCTAGGAAAGGCTAGTGGTGGGCGGATGTACCTCATAAACTTGGAAAAGCCAAGCGGAAGCCTAGTCTGCTTATGTGGTTCCCAGCCTGATAACTTACTTCCGGTCCGGCAACAAAGCCCGTTAGCGCATTCGGTATCGGTGGGGCAGACGCTGTTCGCCCAGCAGTACGTCGAGCCGTGCCTAAAATGGTGTTTTTCAAGAATAATCCGAGCTTTTTATGAAAAAGCAAAAACCCTAGTTTCGTCCGGGGTTCGAACCCGGGCCTTGTGCGCGGCAAGCGAACACAAAACCAATGAGCCAACAGGTCGATGGGATCGAGACTGGGACAGACAGGGACTCTTCACCCCCCTCGAGGGGTCACATCCACGCTTTAGAAAACAGACCCTGCTATGGCGTAGACCGATTTCATAAAAATCCGGAGGTGAATGTTTCTTTGAAGGGATTGGCAAGCACGCCTCGACCTTCTTATCTTACTGAGTGCTTCCTATTTATTTTACCAGCACCGCGACGCGCAACGCGATCGAATCTTTATGTCGTTCCGCGTAAAAGGTGCGACGCAGCGTGCGCGTTACGCGTCGCGATCGGGTAAAATCCATAGAGAATCCATAACTGACAGCATACGCGGTTTTCATGCTTTTCCGGCACCTTTAAAATGGTCCATTTCGCGTTTTTCCACCTCCCACCTCCGAAAGATCCACATTTGCATATGCTTTTCACCCCCCCCCCCCCCCCTTCGCCTAGGGGTGCGATGGTGTGCTTCGGGGGCCTCAAGTGGCTCACTCAAGCCCCAGGGTCCCCAAATTTTAGGGGGGCTATAATCTGGTGGGGGCAGCAGCCGTTGAGCGTCCCGCAAACAAATTTTGGGCGCCCGGGGGGAGGATTATGGAATTTAGCATATTTTTCCGGGGCCGGAAAATGGTGCGCCAAGAGGGCGGGTGAGTCATGAAAAAACAAACACTAAAAAAAACAAATTTTGGCCAAATTTTTAAATTCTAATTTTCGAATGATTTCCATTTTTCTGAAGATGCTTCGAAACAGCATTTTCAAAATTTGGAACAAAACAAAACATTTTTAAGCCAATTTTTTTGTTTATATATAAAAAATATATTATATTTTTGCCAATATAAGAATCATAATTTTTCCAAAATATTTTTCAACTTACAGCGAATATTCCGGAGCAGAACCATCAGCGCAGGTTACAGTAGGCTTGGAGGCAACCGACTTAGCGCCGGGAACCTTGACAGCTTTAGTAGCGGGGCAAGCCTGAAAATGTTAATATCCGCTTTTTCACTACGAGTCATTTGAGCGCGGTGCGGTTGCGTGGCAGGCGCCTAACCGCTGCGCGGCTGGACGCCTATTGTATCACTCTGGGACGCGTTACGGTCCAGATCCCGAAAATTAAAAAGCATGTACTCACCAATTCATCAGTTCCATCCGCACAATCCTTCCACCCATCGCATCGGACGGTCAAAGGCATACAGACGTTGTCAACAGCACAGCGGAGCTCGTTGCGGGCGCAGATGACGGCTGAAAAAAATAAATATAAATGGATGTTATGAATTGGGCTGTTGGCTCCGAGCTCCTGGCTCTTAGCTTCCAACCCGGAGCTCCCCGCTCAAACCAGACTAATTTTCCAACGTTTTAAGAATAATTGCGCGTTAACGTTAGCCGTGATGGCACCATTCGATTCACAGCTTAACAGATAAAAACGCTTAAACTCACTTGGACAATCGTGCTCATCGTCCCCATCGGGGCATTGCCGTTCGCGGTCGCAGAATTGGTGCGTCGGGATGCAGTGACCAGACCTAAAGCGTAGAGGCTTGATTCCAAGGTTTTTCTTACTTGCAAGCTCGCTCTCCATCTGGGCAGCCCTCGGTTTGTTCTGGGAGATGTTCGGACGAGATTTCGACGTGGAACCTAGTAAATGGGATATCTGCTGCTAACCTTATCCAAAGCAAGAAAAAGCTAGAGAGAGAGAGAGAGAGAGAGAGAGAGATAGAGAGAGAGAGAAAGAGAGAGAGAGACAGAGGAAGAACGAAAACCGAGAAACCGAGGGAGAAACGACTGTACAAGCATTTACTTGGCCTCAACGCCCATCCCCTCCACAGTTACAAGATATTCGCCCTCATCCTGTCGATTCATATAGTCGATGTGTAGCGAGTATTCGTCGTGGTTACTGTAAAAAAATAACTTAGCTAATTTAGCTCCTAAAGCCAAAAAAACTAAAGCTAAAACTTACTGATATACGTGGATTCGCGAGTCTTCGGTGGTCGTCAGGGCACCCTGGCCGAGGATGTGGCCGTGGCGGGACCAGACTACCTAGAAAATAACGGATAGAACGGTTAATAAATATAAATATTTTAACTTCCGAATTATACGTCTTTATACGGTATTTAAGAAGCCTTGTATTACCTGTCGATCGTGGGGCACCATGTCGATGACGGCGGCGAGGACGAGCTGTCCGCCGGGCCGCACGCGGATCGTCTTCTGCTTTTGGAAGATGATGGGCGCATGGCGGTTGCATTTCGCTGAAAGAAAACCTCAATATTCCAATTTAGGCAATTACCATGGCGGGACCGCTCATCGGAATGGTCGGCGCAATCGGCGTGGCCGTCGCAGCGTCTGGAAAATCGATTTGGCCTTTTCTTGACGGATTTACATTGCGTAATGCGATCTAGCGAGAAGGAGAGCGAGAGACACACACAGCGAGAGCGAGAAAGTGAGAGGGTGATAGGGAGAGAGAGGGAGATAGAGAGTAAGCAAGGCAGCGAGATAGCAGGAGGGATACGAAGACAGCGAGAGGTAGAGAAAGCGATAGTGAGCAAGAAAGCGGGAGAGCAGGAGCGCGATGGAGTGTTAGAGAGAGACAACATCAAAGAGAGGGGGTAAGAGCGAGAGAGGGAGCGGCAGTGAGCAATAAAGTGAGAGAGCAGCAGAAAGAGAGAACCAATTGAGCACCAGAAAGAGAAAGAGCAGTAGATCAATTTTCAACAAAATGCCTCACCTCTTCGCCTCAATACAGCTTCCATCAGCGCACGAAAATTCTTCCGGGTTGCATGAAGTGTTGGAGGCTAAAATGACATTTTTCAGTTTTTAGATACTTTTAATTTTTTGTGGTATTTCGACATTTCGACCCCTTCGATTTCTGTTGTGTTTGTGTTTGTGTAGAATCCGAAGGGCGGCCGCCCGATTATAATATCGTGTGGGGGGCAATTCTGTTTGCCGAGTCGTCGTCGCGGGCCATCTTTTGTGCCCAATTTTTGGGGGCCATACCGACACAAAAGTTTGTCAGTGCGTTGGTGGCCTGGAGGGTTTTCAGCAAAGTGTGGAACACCATGGATTATTGAATGGATACCCGGGATGAATTTGAATTTTCAGGGGAGAGAGAGAGAGGGAGAGAGAGAGGGGAAGATAGAGCAAGAGAGCCAAATGGAAGGAGTGAGAGTGAGAGGAAGAGCGTGAGAGAGGGTAATTTGCAAAGAAATAAAGGATTGGATATCGAAATTTGAGAAAATACCGACAACAAAACTTGCGATAATCAAGAAAATCCAATTACGACATGATATGACCTTCGGAATTGGTCAGAAATCCCAGAACCGGATACCTTTAATGACATGCATCTCATATCCATCCGGCGACACGGCAAACGTTCCAATCTTTCCGACCCTGATCGCCTGGTCGAAGGCTTTTCGTATCCGCGCGTCTACCGTATCCGAATAGACGTCGACATGGCCGAAGGTACCCACTTCTTTGTGGTATCTACAGGGTCCAATTAGGGAATGAGCGGTGGATTCAGTTACGGCAGGAAATGACTGGCTCTCGTTTACGGGAATTATGGAATTTTTTTGATTGGCTTGACTTCCAGGGGTTCTCACTAGGTGCACTTTAAAATTATACTGTTAGGTACACTTAAGGGGACCGGTAAGGCACAAGTCGGATTTTTGGCTGTAGATTTGTCTGGATCATAATCGATTACGAAATGGAAGTGCCAGCACGTGACCGCTTTTACATTGCGTAACTGATTTGGCCGTTCTCCGTGGCCCAGAAGTGCTCGTCGCGTGTTGCGGTTACAGAAAAATTTTTGAACAAATCCATGGTCACGACTTCCGGTGCTTTTTAATGAAACGTTTTTGGGGTGGGCAAGATCCGTAAATTCCAAGGCAAAAAAATTCATAATCATGGCTTGCCGGTCCCTTTAGAATCTTCTCTTTCCTAGGTGTTAAAAACGACTAATTTTGATACCCTTAATGCATGTTCCTCAGCCACCCTTAAGCCATCCCCTCCATCCATTCCATTCCATCCATTCGCCCCGACGAGGGATGGCTGAGGGGTATTTGCCGACAGAAAAGAGGCCCTCCACCCCCCAGTCAGTTCTTCACTTCTTCTTCGTCAGTCAGTCTAAGCCCAGGCCAGGCCACAGCCACTTACACAATCTCTTTCCACCACACTCACTCGCACACACAAACACGCACACACACATACATATACAAACATCTCACCCTGGGTCCTGGGCTCGGACCATGGGCAAGGGGGCTGGCAACGACTTCGAGCCGTTCGGGGGATGTCACGTAGTGTGTGTAAACGGAGATTTAAAAGCCTAACGCATCTTAAAGGGACTTGGAAGGCACTACCCGCGAGCTTCTCGAGACTTTGGAAATTTAGTATACGTCTACTGTTCACCTCCAACGATTCGCTATGGCTACGCAGGCATCCGATTCAAACCGTTCAGCGGGGTTTGGCTAGTCAAGTCAACAATTTTCAGCGCTCGGAGTAGCATTACGTAGTCGCCATATAATAACTAGAGCTAAATTCCAGCCCCAATTTTTGCCCCCTACTCGCCGAAAAAGCCTGGCCGGGCGCATTGCCTCGGTGTGCAAAATAAAGCCGAAGGGAAAACAGACGGCTAACCGGGTCAGGTAGTGGAAGAAGCCGAAGAAGAACAAGAAAAAATAAGAAGGGAAAGTGCAACCGCTTGTCCCGAGAATTTAGGATGAACTCTCAACCTCAAAAAGCAGTTCTGAAAAACAAGACAGACCAAAAAAACGCAAAAATCGATTCGATCCGTTGATTTAAGCGAAAAATTCGGTGAACAGCCAGAAAATGTCGTTTTTGATCAAAAAATGAAAAAATGCGATATTGGTGATCACCATCTAGCAAAAATTTGACTTCTCAGTCCCTTTAAAATTCGAAAAAGCGTGGAGAAGGTCAGTTTCTTAAAAAAGTCTACTTTTAGTAGCTCTAGAGCTCCACATCCAAGTGCGTTTAAAAGCATCCAAAAAAAGTTTGGAAGCAGCTAGTTCAGAGATCAATCTAACAAATCAAAGTTGAAACAGTGCCGAGAACAGACTACGAAAAATTGGGAATTTCGCTTCCCAGTCCATTTAAAGCTCCCCAAAACCAAAATCGAGAGCCAGCCATTTCCACCCGTTCGTCACAAACCGGTATTGCAGTACGGTAGCCCGGTGATCGCCCGGAATACTCCGCAAAATATGCTCAACCCCTTCCACCAAATGTTTCGAAGTATTGAGGAATTCGACAGATCCAGGGTGTCGTAGCTCGCTGGAATACGGTAATCCCGGCAGATTTAGCGTCACCCGGTAGACGACGGTGAGCGAGAGAGCCGCGAACAGCGACAACATCTCGATCGGACCGCCGGACTACGGTATTGGGGCGACTTTTAGGGAGGGTAGGTGGGGGACCGAAGGAATGGTGGGAGGGGGCGGGTGGGGGAGAAGCCCAAGGGACGGCTCTTACAGACTGTTTGGCCACTGTGTGCGCCGTTTTCTCTGGGTTCTCTTGCACTCTCCATTATATCTCTCTCCCTCTCACTATCTCGCTCTCGCCGTGCAATCGAAATTCCACCTTTTCTTCGGAGTTCTTTTTTTGTCAATTTGGGAGGTATCGAGGGGCGAGTAAAATGATGAGTAAATCGACCAAAATAGCCCAAAAATTGGCTTAACTATAATCATCCAGGAAATTGCTAAACAGCCTAGCCACCACCGGCCTACGCTTGATTCTAAGTCTACGTCTAACAGTAAGCTATACATATCTAAACCTGGTCAAAATCCAAGCAATACGTAAAATAAGCCCCCTCAAATAAAGCTTAAGCTTCTCCCTACACGTCAGCCAAGCCTAAGCTTATTCGTAGACTTAAGCCTATACAGAAACCTAAGCGACAGCCCAAAGTCGAGCTAAACCTAAGCCTATCCCGAAGCTAAGACTAAGCCGAATCCGAATGCCGGCCATAACTTAGGTAGATGCTTTGGTTTACAGCCACCACGCCTCGTGACGTACGCCTTGAACTACGTATCACTCCCTTGAACGCCCTCGTTTTTGCCGTAATGCGACCATCGAGCTTTCAAGGGACCGGCAAGTCATGGTACTAGATTCCTTTCTACTCTTTCTCACTCTCACACACTCTGTCTCTCTCGCACTCGGTCTCTCTCTATCCCTCGCTTTCACTCTTACCTCTCAGCATGCCCTTTCCCCAGTTTTTAGACGGCGTTTGCCAATTTTGCACTAGACCGCATTTACCCGGGCCGTCATTATCCCTCTAATCCGACAATCCATCCCCGCATCGTACAGTCAATAGGCCAACGATCTGGGTTTACCCGGGGGGTCTGGGTGGTCGGTCTAGGCCGGAGGGCACTTGAGCCCAGATTTCACACCAGCCGTCAAATCGACACGAACGGCTCCTCCTCTCTCACTTCATGCGGGGGAAGAACCCGCAAATATCGAGAAGCCAGACCCTGCGGGGGGGGGATCGGGGGCCCTCATCTGCATATCACTTCAGCCACCCACACGCCATCTATGCAAATAGCCGTTCGGAGACCCGGGAGGAGATCAGGGTTTTTGGGGCGCTTGACGGGGGGCTCATTGAGCCGTACTTCTTGAGGGCGGCTAGGAGCTAAAGGGGCGTCCATGGAAATCGCGGAATTTTTAAGCAAAATTCCGATACTTCGATCAGTTGATTAGGTGACGTTTCCTTGGGGTTTTCTGCTGGTCCTTTTCAAAAACGCTCTATTTTGGGCTGAAATTAATTGTTAACCTCTTCTCCAGCCGTGGAGCTTCATTTTCGGCATCCTTTTGAGCAAGCTAGCTTTAAATATAACGCTTTAGGAGGCTATGATCTACGAGGTAACGGGCAACTTAAAATATCCATCTCCCAGGTGTCACCGTCCCTTTAAAAACCCTCTCCGGTGACAGGACGCGTGCCAGGCGTGCCCCCATAATTCTCGGCCGGCTCGCATATTTTCGAGGGGATTGCTAAACCGTGGGAGGTGGAGATGGTCGACGGGGAATGATAATGCACTCCTCCTCTTCGACCCCCCGAACGGAAACGGTGTCACCTATTTGGGGTGTACGCGAAGATGCTATCAACAAATCGTATGAAATATGACCGGGGTGTGGGCATTGATTATACGGTTCTGGGGGGTGTTTGAGGGTGCCTTACGAAATAAGTGAGAAAAGTCTTGGAAATAAGCTTAAAGGGACGAGCAAGGCATGGTTATCGATTTTTTGGTCATGGATTTGCTATGGATTGTCATTCGCCCGTGATTTTCCAAACATCGGGGTGTCATTACGTCGCGTAATGGAATAACCTTCACTGCCTGGCTTTTCCGCACGAATCTTTCCTAGCTTGCCCTTTCCAAAAGAATCTTGGCCAGATCGCCATATTTAGAGAATCTGCTCACTGCTTCCCTAAACATCTTTGCTAGCTCGCTCTTGCCCAAAAACCCTTTGGAGCTTGACCTTTTCTTAAAGAAGCCTTGCTGGCCTGCCGTTTAGAAAGACTTTCTGCTAGCCTGCCTTTTCCTAAAAAATCTCTGCTAGGTGCTACTATCCAAAAGAAATGCCGCTAGGCTGCCCCTTTCCTAAAGCAACTCTGCTTGTCCCCACTAACAACAACATCGCGTCGCGGGCGCGTTGCGTGTTGCGCTCTATAGCCATGAAATCCATAGCTATATCTTGCCTGGTTCTTTAATAAGCGTCGATAAAAATAGCGAAGTTCAAGAGACATACCATAAACTGTGAGTATCAAAGCAGGTACAACAGGACAAGGAAAGACGAAAATCGGAGCAAAAGAAGATGATATATATAATGAAGAAATGAAGAAAAATCCCGGATATCCATTCAAACCCATAATTCTTTTAAACCCACCCTAAACCACCAACCTATTATAATATTTTCGACAATCTCGAGCTCCTCCTCAAATGTGGGGACGGTTCCGGGGGCTTCCTCATTGTAGGGAATTGCAATCTGTAAAAGTAATTTTTAGACAAACCGGCAACACTATACCTCCTCGTCTTCGTGAGCGACCTCTCCGGCCAGCGGATACCCATTTGAGATTGCTATCGTCCATATTAATATGGACAATAGTCCAAGGGCCCGCATCCACAGCGGCCTATAGGTGAGAAAAAAAACATAAGGTATGGAAAGGACGAAAAAGCTAAGCAAAAATTGAGTAAGTAAAGATTGAGCAAGAGAACAACTTGGGTGACAAGCTCTTTAGATAGAGCCTGAGTTTCTAAACAAATGCAATTTTTCAAAAACTGTTGAACCGCTCCTATGTTTCAAGAACGTTTCTCAAAGTTGACATTTTGCTAAGGGCGAGCCAGGAAATATCGACCCTTCAATGCATTTTTTTGAAAACCATAGCCGTTCGGCATTTTTTTAAGGAAGGGATTTAATCAGAATTTCCAGCTCTATCGAATGAGTTACGTCACATAAAAAAAAAACTCCACACGCGCCTTGAAACAGAGCTGAAAAACGTGGAAGAACTGACCAGAAAATAACTGAATTTGTCCGCATTTTTTTGAAAACAAAGGATCTCAGCAATAATAAAATTCCAAAGAACAAATTAAACGCCGATAAAACCAAGTTTTTTGGGGCACTAGAGTGTGTCAACAGTTGTTGCAATTGGTGACAGTCGACAAATTGGGTCTGGCCGTGGGGGGAAAGAAGGGTGAATGTAGGGACACCTGGCCGTGTCAACCGGGCCGATGGTCAAAGGGGTCAAAAGGGGATGTTATTTAGTATTCACTGTTCCTTTAGAGGGTACTATTGGCTCGGCAATAAACACAATCAGACAACAAAAATTGATGTATTGATGAAAGCCTATATCGAAATTCAATCAAAAAAGAGCCACAAAATTAATTTCGACAACTTGATAGCAAGAGCTAGGCTCTTCCAAAGCCTTACAAAAATTTAATTTAAGGAGGTTCGATACCTCAAAGATGCTAGGACTTCCTAGGCATGATAGCAACTACAATTTAAGAACAAACAAAGAGAAAATAACATTTTTAAGCTGGTGAATTTGTCGCGTCATGGAATTGGTGTGAAAGTGTCCCCCCTTGACTTGGAAGCGTGTCTCATGCCGAGTGTCTATGTATGCACACCATTTGCAACCGAATCCCATATCCGACCCTCCATAGCTAGAGCCATCCCACCCGTTCCAACCCCCTATTCCCATCCCTTTAGAGACACACCAATGTTTGTCGATTCCTCTTCGACACTATGGTCCGGCGATGGATTTGCCGGGCATATTACAAAACAAAATTTATCGATTTTTGTTGCGCCTTAGCCGGTACTTCAACCTCGAAAGTCAATAAAAATCAGGCTGTTAAGTCCCTATCAAAATTCCTGATAGAGCTTTAGGCGCCAAAAAAAACCCCGGAATCAGAAAGAAAGCTAGGCGACTTGCAAAGACGGATCTCGCAGATTTCGAGTTACGTGTTCATGGGTTATTTCATCGATATTGCGCGTTTTTACACCAGATCTTAGCGTATATTTTGCCTTAATATCTATAATGAGATTCCCAGAACAGAAAAAGCCAAAGCGTTGTCAGATTTTAGGGCAACTCCACAGCCTCTAAAAATTATCTCGATTGAGGAAAAAATTCTGCAGAAGCTGGACCAAGAACACCCAAAATCACAAGCGGGAAAGCCTCCAACGCACAACTGGAGCCGATAATCAAAGTCGATAAAGTGTGGTGGATCAGCGAGTAGATGCGATCAAGCCGGCCATCGCCTGGGTGTCAAAGGATGGGCACAGGAAGTGTGGTCATCAAGGTCGATGGGTCACATCAGATACAAAGAATAGGTTAGCGGCTTGGTTAGAATCTGATTATTCGGATGAGTGCTTAAAACGGCGGGCGTTGATGGGTCTTTAAGGAGATTTTAGCGTAAGGTATGACTACGGCATTGTTGGCTGTATATCGAGAGAGAGAGAGAGAGAGCGAGAGAGAGATAAAAATTAGCATAACTGCAGAAATCCTAAAAATTTATCGTCGTTCAAATTGGCGAGTGCGACGGACATTGAGATAGACAAAAACTGGGAGAGAGAGAGAGAGAGAGAGAGAGAGGAGAGAGATAGAGAGAGAAGGAGAGAGAGAGCGAGAGAGCAAGAGAGAAAAACGGTGCAAGAGATAGGGAGGCCGATACAGAGCTTTAAAAAATAGCATAACTCCCAAAAAAAATTCTAGAAAATCGGCGATGGTATAATCGAGTAATACGGCTGGCACCAGTGAGATGATCCCCCTCCCACCCGTTCAGCGGTTCATCCGGTAGTGCAGATGATATGCAAGAGAGGGGATCCCCCGTTCTCTTCCTTATCACCTCACCACATCGCCCTATTAGGGACATCCACCCCATACACAATCCACAATCCTTCATCCCTCCCTTCCATTGGCTAGCCTCAGTGAGATGAGGCCACACCATCAACAACCACCGCCCGAGCTGATGATCGACCATTCCGAAATGCTAATTAGGGTAGATCTAGGCGGAAAAATCGGTTTAAAGGTGTTGGGAAGTGCGAAAATCTCGACTTCTTATTGTTGACTAGGTCTTGACAACTACAAAATGGCGTTGATTCTGTTTTAAATTTTTTTTTGGTGAGACTATTCTTATTTTAAAGGGACCCACAAGTCAAAAATCTAGCCACGATAGACGTACCACTACTTCGAACTACTAGTGGGTGCGAAACCGTAGCCTGCCAAGAGGTGTTTGGCTTTGATGGGTGTGGACAGTTGAAAAGCGGGCCGCTTTGCCCGGGGAAAGACCCGTTACGCAATTTGCATATGACAGGGATGATTTCTTGGGGGATGGGGGGTGGTGGTGATCGGGACATTGATGGGGGGCAGTAAAGCAATTCGGAGGGGGCACCGGAAAGAGCCTTTTCACACCTTTCACTACGTTGATCAGAGGGATGGGCCCGGAATTTGTTGCATGCCGGAATCGCAGGTCTCTTCAAAGATACTTGGAAAGTTGGAATCCTTGGAATTTAAGGTTTTAGGCTTGCAAGCGCCAAAAAAACCTATCATTCGACAGCCGGTGCACTAGGTCTCGACAGCTACGTGGAACTCCAAAAGACGCTTACAAGATAGCATCATAGAAAGAATGAAGGAGCGAGAAAAAAAACGAGAGAGAGAGAGAGAGAGAGAGAGAGAGAGAGAGAGAAGGGACGGAACGTTAAATAAGGAGCGTAAAAAAGCTTCGCGCTGTGGGCCAAATAGGACCAAATATCCAACGTTCCACCCCTGGTCCTTTCGCGTATCGTGTAGCTGTCTGGATATAGAAACGGGTTGATTCCTTGCTTTCTAGTCCCTTTAAATTATTATTTGAATTTCTTGAAACTAACAAACACCCAGAAAATTAGTAGTAAGCCCGCAATTAGTCCAGAATCTTCCTTTAACTTTCCACCGCCTCTCCAGGCTAGTACATGGCAATAAAAGGAGGGTGCTTCAGGTAGGGGCACCCCGTTTTCGTGTCCTTTCCCCCCTTTTCCGATTATCAGCTGTGTGTCGAGCCTCTTGGCGGCGAGCCGTAAATGCCTGTAAACTGGGGCTTGGAGGTGTCACGAACACTTCCATTCACGCAACATTCAACCACCCCTCCTTTTTATGATGGGGTAAAAAACGGAAGGCAGTAAAATAGCGGGGAAAGTTAGAAGCAGGCACCTGTCAAAAATAAGGAGGCTGTAAATGGTAAACGAGGATAACAATTCTTTACTAAAGTGAGTGAGGGAGAGAGAGACAGCGAGAGAGACAGAGTTAGGGCAGAGAGCGATAGAAAGAGAGAGGCTGTTAGGGATAGAGAGCCAAGAGAGAGAGAGACATCGTGAGAACGTGAGAGAGATACATCGAGAGAACGTGAGAGTAAGAGAGAGAGAGAGAGAGAGAGAGAGAGAGAGAGAGAGAGAGAGAGAGAGAGAGAGAGAGAGGGAGAGCGCGCGGGAGGGTGAGAGAGTGAGAGAGCCATGGAGAGAGATAGCGAGAGAAAGTCGCTGGAAGGTTAGAGATACAAATTAGAGAGAGAGAGAGAGACAGCGTGAGAGAGCGACAATTTTAGAGAGAGCGTGAGATCTGAGATGAGAGATATCCCAGACCTGATCAGCCCTATTATAAAACCTGTGTTAAAATTCGATCTAAAGAAGGAGCATCCGCAAGAAGTCACGAATTAGACCCGAACACCCAGCCTCCCGGCCCCCGCGAACAAAAAGCTCCTATCCAAGCTGTTGGGCTGAGTAAGGGAGGGGCCGACTGATAAAGAAGGCTCTAAGCCCTCTCGCTGAAAAGCCGTTGAAAAGAAGCGGGGGACCAGGTTGGCACGGACCAGGCCGGGACGCGGCATTCTTCTTGACCCCTGTGGAATATCGGGGCGCGAACTGTTGAATGGTGACCGGGTGGTGGCGTTGCATCGTACTAAAATCGTGGACGAAAAAGAGCATTTTAGTTTGAAGGGATGGTACCACTACTGGCATAGTGGACGAAAAGACTGATGGGACGCAGCTCTTCGGAAAATGCACGATGTTTCTGGCCCTCATAAAAATCTTAAAACTTGGCCGAGGCTTAAAGTTGCGCTGATTTTAGATTTTCAGAGGTTTTAGTGTTAGTTGAGTATTTTGATTTAGGGCAATTCATAATCGTTTCCGATTCGAAAAGGTCTAAAGGAATATTGAAATGCTTTGGCTTTATTGAATTGCTGCCGTAACTTCCTTGTATTGGCTTCTATTTATAATTTATTTGGAGTTAAAAGATTCATGGACAATAGAATTACGTGCAAAACAATTGATAAAATGTAACTTTGTCTTAAATTGATGCATTTTTTTTAGAATTTGAATATTCTTTTACCATAGACTTTTTCAAGGTTTTTCTAGCTCTAGACTTTTTTGCATTGTTTTTTGGCTTTTTTAGCTAAAGTGGTAAGGGTATTTTTTGGAAATACATCTCATTTGTGACGTCCACTCGTATGCAAATAATCCTGCCAATCTCCCCTCTCTGTTTGGCAAATTCCCAGGAGTTGACCCCCGGGAGAGATGGATGATTCACAGGTATCGTTTTTAGGATGGGAAGGAGGGATGAGATGATGATGCGAGAGAGCGAGAGAGAGACGGGG